GTGCTAGGCGAGCACTGTACTACTAAGTAACAGCCCCAGCCCTAAGCTAGCCTTTTAATTAAGGTGTTTAGATAGTTTCTGTGTAATCATTGGTAAGTTTGGATTTAAGTCTATCATCTTGGTAGTGTTTCTACCTTTCAAATCTTTATTTTTTTTTCTTTTCTTGACTTCTGTTGAATTAATCATTTTTCATGATTCTGTTTTATCTCTTGGCTTATTAGATGCATGTATTTTTAGTTGTTGCTCCATCTAGGTCATGGTTTTTCAAGCTGGGCACTTTCGATATTTTGGGCAAAAATCTCTTTGTTGTTGGGAAGATGCCTCTTGTATACATCGTAAGATTCATTCTTGGCTTCAACCAGGTGGATGAGAGTAGCAGCCACATCCCACTGTCAGTTCTGACAACCAAAAAATGTCTCCATAGTTTGCTAAAAGTTCTCGTGTGTGTGTGTGTGTGTGTGTGTGTGTGTGTGTGTGTGTGTGTGTGTATGTGTGTGTGGTGTTGGTGGTGAAGGTGGTAGTGGTAGAGGAGGAGGAGGAGGAAGAGGAGGAGTATTCTCCTTGATTGAGAACCAGTATTCTGGGTTTAAAAGATACATCTTTAAATTATCCACATTCTTTCTTTAATAATATTATGCCACTTAATATATCACCTTATGACAGAGCTGGTGATATAGCTCAGTTGGTAGGTGCTTGCCTTGGATGCACAAGGCCTGGGTTCAATCCCCAGTACCGTAAAACAAAACAAACCACATGACAGTGTAATTCAATTTTAAATCCCCCATTTTAATGATGTGTCACACATTTTATTTCTCTGTATCTTTTTAACTCCATAGTTCATTACTATTTTGCTTAGTTTACAAATAACCTAAAGTGAACAAAATAAAAAAATAATTCTTTATATTTACCTTCTCTTTTCAGTGCTCCTCATTTATTTTTTGCAGATGCAAATATATACTTGATATTTATGTTCCTGCGTAAGGAACTTCCTTTAGAATTTCTAGTTTCTGCAGGTCTGCCTTTTCTACAGATTTTTAAACATATTATTTTTAGTTATTTTAAAATCTGTGATCATTTCAACAACTGAATCATTTCGGGATTCTATTGATTGCTTTCTCTTTTGGCAGAGGGTTGTTTTTTCTTGTTATTTTGTGCATGCCTCATAATTTTTGATTTACTGCTTGTGGTCCTGTACAGAGGACTCTTCTGCTGCTTCTGTCAGGCTATGTGTGTTGGAGGTCGAGTCAGGTGTATCAGGGGCTGAGCTGAGTTTGTGGGTTTTATCATCATTACACAGGACCATAGGACTCAAATTTCTCCAGTTGGTTGTCATTCCCTTGTGGTACTAGAGGATATTTTTCTATGTTTTGTACCACAGAGGGACTTGACTTTGTGCTGTCATTGTTCTCCCAGTGATACGCTGTTGCTTGGGGCAGGGTGATAGTCATTTTGGTTCTGGGCATTGGTGTTTGGCCTTTTTCAGCATTCATGCCCTCTCTTCCTTGTGGCAGTCAGTCTCTGCTATGTACTTGTGGTGGGTTGTGGACAGAAATATCCTTCCCCTCTCCTATCCATGATAGGTATTTCCTTGGGATTGGTACAGGATCCTTTACCCAGTTCCTTTTCCTCTTCCCCTCCCTTTTGCCAAGTCTCATTGCTGAGTGTTTTTCTATACTCCTTTTCCTCCCTTCCCCAGAAGCAGAGGCATTTTGCTCCTGTTATTTCTGAAGCAGTGGATTTTGTCTGGAGCTTGAGGTGAGAGTTTTCTGATTTTTCCCTACTTACTTGAGGGGCCTTTTTATTTCGGCCTAACCTAGGTTCCTCCTGTGCAATTGCCCTAAAGATGCAGGACTAGGACTCTCACTTCCTGTCCTACTTCTAATCTCTTGTGTGAGCACTCAGTTGAGGCAAGCGGAGGATCTTCCAATTGAGTGGAAATTTCCTTGTGCCTGGGGTCCTTAGCTATTCCAAACGGACACACTAGTTTACACTTGATCTTTAAGAATTTGTTGAAGTTGGTAACCAATTTCTTCTTGTACATGTCAGCCACTACTTTTTCTGTGACTTGCCTAAAGTGAAAGTTTGTGTGTACTGTCTTTTCCTTGGAGGAGCTTATCTTTCCAAGGAGAGGAATAACATTCACTTGGAATTTTATAAGATTTCTTTGGTAAGAATTATCTTTACTTGGTTACCTTATAACCTCTATTTTTTGTTAGACCAAAAGAAGTTTTGACTTTTATGTGAGTGTGTGTGTACACTCACTCACACACACACACACACACACACACACACACACATCCTTTTCTTTTTTCTTCCTTGTTAGAGTGGGAATAATATTCTTTTTTTTTTTTTATTTAAACAATGATCTTTATTTATTTATTTTTTTTAGAGAGAGAGAGAGAGAGAGAGAATTTTAATATTTTTTTTTTAGTTATCGGCAGACACATCTTTGTTGGTATGTGGTGCTGAGGATGGAACCCGGGCTGCACGCATGCCAGGCGAGCGCGCTACTGCTTGAGCCACATCCCCAGCCCTTATTCATTTATTTTTTAATGTGGTGCTGAGGATTAAACTCGGGGCCTCACATGTGCAAGGCAAGCACTCTACCACTGAGCCACAACTCCAGCCCATGAAACCTTTTTTGATTCTACTAAGTAGAATGGAACATTTCTATACTTGTGTCTCATGTTCAATGTGTTATGTTTTGTGGGACCTTTTCAAATTGACACTCAGTGAAGCTGGGCAGTTTTTAGATTTTGAGGCCCATCACCCTGAGAACTGTCCTTCTATTTTTAGAGTTTTACAACTGGAGAGTTGATAGGTTTTAAGTAGAATCATAGATTAAGCTTGAAATAAAAAATACATTAACGTTGTCAATAGCCATCCTACCATGCAGTAGAACACTAGAACTTCATTCTTCTAATTATAACTTAGCACCTATTGATCAATCTCTTCATATCCCTCCCTCTCCTCTATTTTCCCCAGCTTCTGGAAACCACAATTTTATTCCTAACTTCTATGAGATCAACCTTTTTATATTCCACATATAAATAAGATCATGCTTATTGTAATTAATATAATGATGTTCATATATCTACCACATTACCTTTATTCATTCATCAGTTGTTTCCATTGGCTGCAGTAAACATGGGAGTGCAGATATTTCTTTGATATACTGATTGCATTTTCTTTGGATATATACCCAGAAGTAGGATTGTTGAATCACATGGTAGTTCTGTTTTTAATGTTTTTGAGGAAGCTGAATACTGTTTCCTATAGTGGTTATGCTAATTTACATCCCTCTGACCACTGTCAGTGTGTAAATGTTCCTGGTTTTTCTGCATGATTGCCAGCACTTATCTTTTCTCTTTTTGATAATAGCTATTCTTTTTTTAATACATATTTTTTAGTTGTAGTTGGGCACAATACTTTTTATTTTATTTATTTATTTTTATGTGGTGCTGAGGATTGAACCCAGGGCCTCATGCGTGCTAGGCAAGGGCTCTTGCGCTGAACCACAACCCCAGCCTCCCAGCCCCCCCCCCATAATAGCTATTTTTATTGAAGTGAAATGATAGCACATTATGGTTTTGCATTTCCCTCTTATTAGATATGTTGAACATTTTCTCATAGAGTTGGGTGTTTGCATCTCTTCTTTTGAGGAATGTCTATTTAGGTCTGTTGCCTTTTTTAAAATTAGGTTGTTTTGCTTTGCTTTGTAATTGAGCTTTTTGAGTTCTGGGTATTAACCTCTTGTCGGATATTAACCTTTTATATGTTAGAGTGGCAAATATTTTCTCCTATTTTTTGTGTTTTCTCTTCACTCTTTTTGTTTCCTTTGCTGAGAAGAAGCTTTTAAATTTGATGTAATCCCATTTGTCTATTAATAATAAAATAAAAAATTTGTGAAATCACACCATAGGTCTCTGTGCTGTTTGGTTTATATATTTGTTACTCTTGAACTAAATTATTTTCAGAAACAAGATAATTCATAGAATATAATTTTAGAAAATGAGATTATTTATACAAACTGGCATATATTTATACAGTGAAATATAGAACTATAAAACAATGAAGAAACATGGAAAATTATCTAGGATAACTGGGTAAAAAAAAAATAGTAATGTAGAAAAACTGTTTAAAAAGGCAGGAAGAATAAGACTATGTTTTCACTTAAGTATATTTGCATAAAAAATTGCTAAAAGGATATACATACAAGAAACTAAAGTGGTAATCTACAGTAAGCAGGGGCAAAGTGGGTTACTTGTGAAGGCAATGAGACTTCTCAGATATATGTTCCTTTTTATATCATCTTGATTTTTGAATCAGGAATTTATGTATTCAAAAAAATTAAAAAGAATAAACATTACTATATGGACACTGAAAGATAACAGGAAAATTTGTACAATATTTCAGAACTGATTAAAAAATGATGGCCTTTGAAATAAAAACTATGTGTGTGAGATTCCTTTATTTTACATGAGCCAGAATTTGCTAGCAAGAATACATAGAAAATTGCAAAAGACAAGGTTTTTATGAATCTGGCTTCAAATAAAGAAATAAATAAAGGGTCAGCTTTTAAAAGTAATTAGAATAGATACTGAGGCCACTTCTTCTGGGGTGACTTCAGCAGCTCTGATGAGTAAGATTCATAGTTACGAGCTCCTTGATATACTCCAATTTGCTACATACCTTCTTTGGGGATCTAAATTTTTTTCTTCCTTCCTTCCTTCCTTCCTTCCTTCCTTCCTTCCTTCCTTCCTTCCTTCCAAGCCAGTCTCTATCTCTTGTCAACTTTATTTGTCTATTAATATTTTTAGTTTTTAATTAGCATTTTTGTCACCTGTAGTAATGATAAGACTAGAAATTGGCATTTCTTAATTAACTCAAGCATCTATGTGATACTCTTTGTATGTTTGCAGGGAACAGTGATGTGTCACAGTATCTAAAATCTGTAATGATTTCAGTGGCCTAAATGTGTCTTCTTTTTCTTAATGTAGATCTATCCATGCTAATGGAAATGTAACTGGAACTGACTCTGATGATAAAATCAAGGACCATCAGACAAGATCATGCACTAGGAAACTTTGCTTCCAAATGAAGGCACCAACATTTAGAATTTCTGCTTATTCTAAGGTATTTGAGGTACAATTTTAATTTTATTTGACTCCTTGCCAGTCATTTTATAATGTTGTTTTCTGTATATTGTTTTTGCAAGTTTAAAAGTTCTTGTATGTTAGAGTGGCTAGCTAGAGAAGAGTTCATCTCTTCCCATGCCCTGCCTGCAAAGGAGAAAACATCCAGATTTTATTTATTTTTATTTTTTATTTTTTGTACCAGAGATTGAACTCGGAGACACTCAACCACTGAGCCACATCCCCAGCCCTATTTTGTGATTTATTTAGAGACAGGGTCTCACTGAGTTGCTTAGTGCCTCTCCATTGCTGAGGCTGGCTTTGAACTCAGATTCCTCCTGCCTTAGCCTCCTGAGCCACTGGGATTATAGGCATGCACCACCGCACCTGGCCAAACATCCAGATTTTAAAGATCGAAATTCCTTATTATTAGGAAGTATGTCAGTTATAAGAAATGTATTGAGTAAAGATTAAGACTCAGTAAATTACACTGGAAAAATCGTAATTAACAAATCTCAATTTAATACTTATTTTATTCATGTTATGACCCTGAGATAAGCAGCAGAATTCAGCATTTTGACATTCTGCCTATATATTATTAGGGACCTTAGTTTAACCTTTAGTTTTAGTGTCATTCATTCATTTTTTTTTTTTAATGTGGTGCTGAGGATTGAACCCAGTGCCTCACAGGTGCTAGCAGGCGCTCTACACTGAGTCACAACACCTGTCCTGTCTTTTAGTTTTGTTTGATACATTTCTCCCTTTTTTCCCCTAAACATTCATTGTTAGGGTTTTCCATTCACCAAGAAGTGTCCCTGTTAATTCCCATAAGCTATCCCTATAGAACCTTTGGGATCTGATGGATTAATTTCACTTGGACCAGAAAAGCAAGATACATAAACAGTTAAGTGACTTTTCCAAAAAGGGGTGGATCTCTACTTTAAACACTACATAAAACATCTGGAAACAAAAAGAAAATGTAGTGTCAACATAAAATAAAATAATTCTCTTATTTTTCTGACACATAAATTCCAAACAGGGTAGTTGAGGTATTTTACTTAAAAGCAAAATCATTTTTGTTTTCACTGTATTTTTCCACATGGGTAAAACGGATGGAAAATAGATTGGGGGCAGGTCAAAGTTGGTTGGTTTCTCTGTATATGTTTAGAGAGTTTTGTAAGTTCATATCTCATTAGACATTTTGTTCTGTTTTGAGAGGAAAATATCTAAAGCAATAAATTCCCAATTAATAGGAGTTCATGTAATGTAAATCCTAAGGACTGCCTTAGTTAAAATAAGTGGATCGCCTCCTAGAAGGTGATGGTGCATTTTTTTTTGATGACTGAACTCAGGGACACTTACCCATTGAGGCACTCCCCCAGCTTTTTTTTTTTTCTTTATTTAGAGACAGATTTTCACTGAGTTGCTAGGTGCCTTGCTATGTTGCTGAGGCTGGCTTTGAATTCACGATCCTCCTGCCTCAGCCGCCTGAGCTGGGATTACCGGCATGTGCCACCAGGATTTGTGTAGAAGAAAGTTATCTTGTATCAGGTAACAAATGAACAGAGCTAGGTTGCTCTGATGACAAGTTTTGAAATTTTCTCTGGCAGCTAGTAGATGTATTGCACTTTTCTAGGTTTTTTTTTTTGTTGTTGTTKTTTTTGGGTGTCATTTTGAAACAAGTAGTAATGATGATTAAAAACAATTTGTCTTATTACCAGAACCAGTTTACTTATTTATTTAAGATATGTCATTCCTTCTTTCTTTCATTTAAGAACATAAATAGAATGCCTAAACTTTGCAAACAATGATTCTAGATTTCTGGAAGGATATAAATTATTTTATAACTTCATTATGAATGAAGTTGAAGACTTCTTTTACTTGGAAAGTTTGCTCTGGAACTAAAGAGACTAAATACACCCATTTGAAAACACTTATGTGTAGTCATAAAAGGAGCACATAAAATCATAAATTCTCTTTCTAAGTAATATAGTTAAACACTATATTCAAGCCTTAAAAAAAGGTAAAGATTAGGAAATAGGGATTCTGACCAATTGAATTTGCTGAATAAATGGTTGTGGTTGTTAACCATTTGTGGTTTTACTTATGAAAGTGTAATGCATCCTAAATTAGGTTACTTAAATTCTTTTTATTTGTTGGTGGGGGGCTACTGGGGATTGAACTCAGGAGCACTTGACCGCTGAGCCACATCCCCAACCCTATTTTGTGTTTTTTTAGAGACAAGGTCTCACTGAGTTGTTTAGTGCCTTGCTTTTATTGAGGCTGGCTTTGAACTCGAAATCCTCATGCCTCAGCCTCCTGAGCTGACTTAAATTCTTAAGGCAGGCATTTTTTTAAAAAATATTTTTTTAGTAGTAGATGGATATAATACCTTTATTTTTTATTTATTTACTTTTATGTGGTGCTGAGGATTGAGCCCAGTGCCTCACACGTGTAAGGCAAGCACTATGCCACAGACATTTTTAATTGATCAATTTCTTATTCTCCTTATTCTTTTCTAAGCTTTTACCGAGTGATATCCCCATACATATATGTTGCTTTCCTTTTTTAAAATTAAGAAAATTGAAAATGTCACAATTTGTACTTGGAAAACTTTACGAAATACATTTGTACAATATATTTTCTTGAGATGAGTTTAGATTTTGAGATTATTTATTTAAGATATAAGGAATTTTCTCTTCAGGGTTCTGTAGTTTTCATTGTATAAATCTTTCACCTCTTTTGTTAGGTTGATTCCCAAGTATTTTATTTTTTTTGAGGATATTGTGAATGGGGTGTTTTTCCTCATTTCCGTTTCAGAAGATTTGTCGCTGATATACA